CTTTGAAAAAAAAAACCCTCCACCCGGATTTTGAGACGGTTTGGGGCTTAGAGCCCTATGCAAACCCTTACACCCGATACCCCAGGTTTTCAAGTCTCGTTTGCAGTAGGTAGAAGAGGCCTAAGCGTCGCAGCGGGGGACGCGCTGCCATGTCCTGTGATAGGGGGTTTAAGGGTTTAGGGGGTTTCAGGCTTCAGGGTTTAGGGGGTTTAAGGTGTTGGGGTTGAGGGCGGAGGCCCCCAAAAGTATTTTTGCACTGGTACACTGTGACGTTTGAGCCCATGCGAAGAATTTGTATACATCTCAGAGCCAAAGCTAGGGTGGAAACCTCCTTCCCTCTAAAGCCTACAGTCTGAACCCTAAACCCACGCCCTTCGAAGTTAAGGTTTAGGCTTTCACTAGGCTTTACCCCCTAAACCCTAAAACCTAAACCCTTAACCCTAACCCGCCCCAGGCAAATTCCCATTCACCTAAACCCTAGGCTTTAGGATTTAGGGTTGCGTAGAAAAATTGAGGCCTCGGCTGTTCAAAGCCCCGAAGACTCCTTCTTGCGCTGTTGATGGAAGACATCCTGCAGAATTATCAGGGTTCAGGAGGTTTAGGGTTGGGTTCGGGCTTAAGGCTTAGGATTTAGGGTTTAGGGTTCTTAGGGTTTAGGTGTTTAGGGTTTATCCTAGTTCTTAGCTATAGTTTCTGAACCCCGGCTCTAGCTGACGCGAGATTTGCTTCTGCAGCGGAAGGCCTCAAGCCACGTCTGCTGGCAAACTCTAAGCCCTAAACTGTCTTAAACTCCGCGCCTAAACCCTAAACCCTAAACCCCTATCCCAAACGACAGGAGTGTACCTTCTATTTCTTCAGCACCGCGGGTTGTCGCAACGGAGCCGACTGCAGCTTCTGCCATGAGTTCCATCCAAGGACAGGGTGTTGTTATTCCACATCCTGGGGATGTATCGAGTGTTGGGATTAGGGTTCAGGGTTCAGGGATTAGGGCTAAGGATTAGAGTTTAGGGATGAGGGTTTAAGACACTTGGGATACTGGTGTCCAAAATCCTACATGGCCCTGAGAACCTCATAGCATGGAGATCGGGGTGTTACAGCATACTGGGGTCTAAGCTCATGCAAGGCTTTTTTGTATCAACAGAAGCATGTTGAGTTTTAGATTAATGTTCGGCGGTGAGAGTTGAAGGTCTAGGTCTGAGGATTTAGGGCTCAGAGTTCAGGGTGTAGATCTTATCACAACCATGAGCTCCTTTTGGAGTCCTTCCCCACCCTTGCAGGTGGTGTTGTCAGAGTTTAAGAAGTTTGTGTTCTCCTCACCTACTGCAATCAGCAGTGGTCTTGCTAGACCTTCAGTAGTTCAGTACAACCAACTTATAATCGAAGTATTTTGCTTCCACAGAATCTCCTGCGTAATCCTTGCAACATAGGAGTTCTGGTAATCGCCATCTCTAGAACAGGATCTGTATCATCTCTCCCTCTTCACTGCACCAAGTACCAGTAGCTGCACCAGTGCAGTTCGGGCTTAGGATTCAGTGGGGTCCTACACCCTAAGCTCCAAGCCTCTCAACCCGAAGCCCTACACCCTGACTTAAAGCCTGGAAAGCAGCCTGCTTTGTGGAAGGAAGAACAACAAGAAGAATCGACGTATCATGCGCACATTACAGACTCGTCCTGGGCTTAGCAAAGCCTTTGTTTCGCTTAAGATGCAGCCGCCCACTTAAGGGCTACCAAGGGTTGCACACACATGGAGATTAGACAAGGAGACTGTAAATCCGGGTAATGGGATGTAACCTGATGAGTCGGATTTCCTCACCATTACTCCTGATGTTTGAGTTCGTAAGCCCGAAATCCTCTGGAAGTACGGCCTTTAATATGGGCCCAGCCTTTCAGCTGCCTTCTCGGCCTTCTAGAGAGGGACCCCTGGATGAAGAGCCCATACTAGGGGCCCATGGTTCAATTTTTGACTCAACCCAAACCCCAAACTCTAGACCCTATAATGGTTGTCATCTCTTTTCCACCAGTCAAACCCTCAAGCCCTAAGCCCAACAATTGTTTCGATTTTCTCTTACATTCCTCCATTCCTCAACCCTGAAACCCTGAACCCTATGATAGGTTCCATTTATTCCAGCACTCAACCCCCAAACCCTGAAACCTTAGCACAGAATGCCATTGGCTCAGGGATGCCCTTTGTGCATTAGGGTTTAGGGCTTAGGGTTGCATGGTTATGACATGTGGCTCTCAGTTTGTGCTACCAGTGGATGGAGGAAATCCTGCACCACCTGATCTGTTATGTGGTAGTTGTTCTGAATACCTTTCCCCATCAGGGCCATAAATCAGCTCACGATTTTGCTTGGGATTTCCCTCTTCGGAAGTGTATTCCCAATGGTCCCTCCTTAAACGGACCTTTAGAACATCCCCTACCATATTTAACCCAGGAATGAAGGTACGTTGGGATCCTAGGCGGTGCAAGATTTCTTGAACCCTCAGCATGGTTGACGGACAATGCCTTGCCTGGCATTTTCCACCCATACCCTTCAAACTGTACATTGTGGAGCCGTAGGATACTGTAGATCATGCACTTTTTGTCCAGGAACAGTAGGTCATTACGAGTCAGTGTTGCAGCTGCCTAAACCCTAGGTTGTCAATATGAGCACTCCTTACGCTAACATGCAACCCATACATCCATTTTTGGAAGGAAATCGGTCTACCCTTTCTTGTTCCACAGATTTCAGGGAAAGAGTGTGCATCGAGTCCAAAAACTCGGAGACCCACAATCTGAAAACCTGCGGCCAAAAACAAGCATCAAGAACCTGCAAGCCCTAAACCCCAAAAGCCTGAAAGCCCATAAGATCCGAACTTGTTGATCAGTCGGTTCTGAATCCATCCTTTTTTCTTTAGCCCCTATGGAACTTTTTTAGCCCACGCGGTTTAGGGCTTGGGGTTTACGATCTAGGGGAACAGTAAGCTATATGGTAGTTTCCAGTTTGTTTCCGGTTCCTCCATTGCCTACTACGTACCAGCCAACAAGTGAAACTTGAACCCTAGACCCCCCCTCTATCTCTCTATATCCCTATACACCCCCCCAGGCTTCAATTAGCTTTCCCATTTGTTTTTCCATTGCACCCCGATATACCCCCAAATGCGCTATTTTCCATCAAGCCCTAACCCTAAACTCCGCTTCCATGTGATTTTCACTCCCCAAGCATTGTTTGGGGGGAGGGTGCTTGGAGGGTCAGGGGGACTTAGCAGATGGGTGAATAAGGGACAACTGGAGTTATTATGTGGCTTTGTAGAGGTTTTAATTACACTTGTTAAGTCCTCCTGACCCACCTAAACTCTATTTTACCTGCACCAAGGAGAGAGGGGGCGTGGCAGAAAAATCTATCCCCCTGCATGATATCCGTCTATAACAAAGCCTATAAAGCTCCCACATATCATATAACCCCACACCTATATCCCTAAACCCTAAACCCAATCCCCTGTGGCAAGGGGTAGCGTTCTTGTCCCAGGCGAGCAGCATGATGGCAAGGAAGGTAAAGAGCTCACGGAGGCAACACGTAAGCCAACAAGCGCAGGGTGTAGATCCACACGCTTTACAGATATTGTATTGCATCAACTGTATAGTGCTCATGTCCTGAGTTTTGTGTGTGGGTTTTGGGGCCAATTTTGTGTGAGGCATGCAGTTTTGTTGTTGTGTTTTTTGGCCCTCTACAGCTTCTACTCAGTCTGGGCTTGAGGCTTCAGGTCTCATGGCTTAAGCGCTTCTGACAGTATGGTTTTGACTTTTGATGGTTTAAGGCCTTGTGTTTCTTTCGGTTTCTCATGGCTCAATTTGTGGCACAGCAGATTTCGCAGAGTGTTCATAGAACCTTCCCGGATTTTGCAGCAAAATCAAGCTTCAAGTAACTGTCATGCTTGGATTGCTGGGGTTTCCAGAGCTGTTCAAAGGTTCGAAGAAGGGCGAGAAGTAGCGTAATTTTGGCTACGACGCTTGGTATCCTACTCTTACAGCCCGCTCACCCTACCTTTAATTATGCATGAACCCCCCCCGCAAAGAGTCTAGCTAGCCATGAACTGTCACAACTTCAGCTCGGGTGTATGGGCAAATTCTGAATGGCCCGGATACCCAAACTTGGGAAGTATAGTAGATAAGTAAACAATGGGGTTTAGAGTTTACAGTTTAGGGTCACGTGCAACATCAGGATGATTTATATGACGTTCATTAGCAAGCTTCGCTGCAAGCTTTCCTCAACACTGCTTATGTTATGGGAAGTCAAAGCAGTAGGGTATAGGGTTCAGGGTTCAGTTGTATCTGTGGGCCATGTGTATGGATCAGCAACGGGCTCTGCTCCAGGAAGATCCAGGCCATAAACCCTAAACCCATAATCCCCTAAACCCTTTGCCCCTAAACCCTAAACCCCAAGCCCTAAATCATAAACCCTAAGCCTTACGTAAACTCTAACCCTGAACCCGAAAACATAGGCACCAAATCTGGACGCGCTTGGCTTTGAACTTCAGCAAGTCAACTTGTTGCAGGAGAAGCCAGAAAGTGGGCCTGGATCTACAAGCAGCCACTCGATCAATGGTAGGGTTTAGGGTTTAGGGCTTAGGGTTATTGTGAAGGTTTTGGGGTTTCAGGTTTAGTGTTTAAGGTGCAAGGTCTTTGGTTAAAGGGAGCCTGGATTGCTGACTAGGAGGTGTTCTCATTGTTCTCAAAATCCTTTGACGGTCCCAAGCCCCATGGGACACCCTCCACCTTAAGCCCCTAAACCCTAAACCTTCTGATCTTGTTTCAAGGCTCAACACCCTGATTCCTTGCGTTACTGGATGGAAGAAGTCATATAAGGCCCCAAAGACTCCAACAGTGAAAAAACATTGGTTCAGATATGGTAGTTTCCAAAAAGACAGGGACCCCAGCATGGACATCAGAATACTATAGCCAAATTGGTGCCGCAATGTTTGAGAAACTCCCATATCGCAAGCCGTCAGGACTAGTAAAACAGCATACGCGAAAGGATGCTATTAGGGTTGATGGTTTAGGTTTTAGGGCTCAGGGTTTAGGTTTCTGTGGTTGATAAGATAGCAAACACTACAGCCTCCCACATACTTCCAGGCTCCATTTCATGTTCCGTTTTTCTGTTCCGTTGCTCTAGACCCTAAACCGTGACATTATTCTTTATGGCGCCTCTAGTAGCCCCTAAACCCTAAGCCCTCAACTCTAAACCCTAAAACGTAAAAGTCCTCTGGTTTTAAAAGCCCCTAAAGCCGAAACCCATTACCGATTTCAGACCCAGGCCAGAGTCCCTCAGTCGGACAAAGCGTCGTGAGCACCGAGAAGGTCCAAGTCAAAAGCATTCAGGAAATTCATCCCGAAGGCTCCTAGGGTTTAGGGTTTAGCGTTTAGGGTTTAGGGTTGCGCGATAAAGGATGCTATAGACTTATATGGGGATTCCATCAGGGTTCGGGACTCATGGCTAAAAGAGGGGTGTTCGGATTCATTCTCCCCCAAAATGGAAAACCAAATGGAAAAAAGAACATGGAACATGAAATGGAAACTGGGTTTAGGGTTCCTCCCTAAGCGCTAAACTCTAATCCGCATAGGGTCTGGAGTTGACAAGCTTTGGAGTTCAAGGTCAACAGAACCTTAACAAGTACATGTAGGGTATATAGTAGGTATATAAGAATCCCAGGGCTAAGGGCCCATACTAGGGGCCCATGGTTCAAATTCAAACCGGCCCTGAACACACTAGAGAAGTCTCTTGACTAACGTGAGTGCAAAATTGATGGTTAGGCCTGGCACTGTTGCTGAACTCAGTCAAGGTGTCGTTGCTCGTCCGGCTACATGTTAGCAGTGCTTTGTCTGGCCCGCTTTTACGCTATCATTTTTGCAGGAGGAGTTCTGCATAGTGGCTGTTAGTAGCAGCACGAGCTGCAGCAGCAGCAACATCATATGCATGGGTCTTCTTGTAGCTATTGTTGTGGATGGTGGTGACCACAAGGAGGGTAATGAGCTTTTCTTTGTCACCGCTGCTGCCGTACTGCTTTCATTCATGAACAGACACACAATCTTGAAAGGACTTGTCGCAGGCTTAATAACAATACCCGAGGTAACTTGCAGTTTCATGTCCCGTCCAGACGAATATACCCAGATATTATAAGTCCTTTTCCCTGCCTCTACTGCCAGTAGCATTGAGTGCATTAAGGCTCTTGCGTTGCTACTGCATGTGCCCACTGATTCGAAGAAACCATGCGTCAGAGACGAGCCGGAGGGTAGGACGTTGGCAGCTCGAACTCATATGAGCTACTGTCAGTATTAGCCTTATGAAGGGGCCCTTATTGACCCCCGAGAATGGAGAACCAAATGGAAAAGAACATGGAAAATCAAATGCACAATGGGTTATGTAGGGATTTAAAGGGATATGTGATGTGAGTTGAGATGCAACATCCATGACCCTCCTAGTACCCTGACTTGGGGGTATATGGCCGCTAATAATGGGTACGTAGGTCCAAATCGAGAGTAGTTGGAGAGTATAGGATGGAGGTTTCTAATTATTGATTAGGGGGTTTCTTGGCTTATAGCGTGGTGCCCTGAAGAAGCCCCAAACCCTTAACTCCTAAACGGCGTAACGCCGACAAAGGCTTCGCAGTGATCGTCCAAGGAGGGCACTTTCGACGACCTGCTTATGGGTAGTTGGGACGAGGGAATACATCCCCTTTAGTTGTTTTTAGATGATCTCATCTAGTTTCCCCGCAATGCAGTACTTCATTTGCTGTTAAGTATTAGCAATATCAGCAGTATGAAGTCTTTGCTGCGCAGGTATGACTCTTTCTAACCCTAAACCGAGTGACTTTGCGATGCCAAGCCTCCGTCGCAATGGGCGGAAGACTGTTGACCAAGCAAAGGGTACAAGGATTGGAGGCAGAAGTCATGGGCCAAAGTTTCAGTTTCGGACGTTGGACGATTTCGTTCTTACGCAGAAGTTGCTGGGTTGCTGTTCAGGAGCTTAAATTGAGTTACTACAATGAGTTACTACAATAAGGAAACCCTATGATTTACTACATAGCCATGATCTGATTACTTAGTTTAAGTTCCCTAAGAGCAGCCCAGGTTGTCCAGTGTTGCGGAGCAGGCGCTTCGCAACAAGCCTGAGCAGGTAGTATGGCGGGTCTTGTCCCAGGGCCCGCTCAGAGGCGGAAACCCGAATCTAGCATTGGCTCAACGGCTGTGGGCAGAGCAAACGGGATATCCAAAACCGTCACAAGCCCAGCAGGTTTATTCTGAAAAGCTGGTCAAACCTGCGCCAACTGGATGGGTCAGATGGCTTGCTGCCAACAAGCAGACCTGTGATGCTGACAGATGTGATCCTTGCAACCAGCCTGGCAGTGATCGTAGCAAAGTTCAGGCAGCGTCGAAGAGTTGCAGCAGTGTTCAGGACTTAGATGCCTCACGGCAGCCCGCCAACGTTGTATATGCAAACGCGCAGCACCGGCACGCCCCGTCAAACGCTGAAGAGCAAACTGCAGCATGCGACCCTGTACGAGCTGTGCGGTGCTACACGAAGGCGGCTGAGCAGGGCGAGGCAGACGCTCAATTCAAACTTGGGACCTTCTATGCCAATGGCACAGGCATGGCCAAGGATGAAGAATCTGCCCTACACTGGTACAAATTGGCGGCAGAACAGGGAATGGTGGAAGCACAGTTCAACTTGGGCCTTTGCTACAAACACAGCCTAGGTGTGACACAAGACCTGGAACTTGCTTTGAAGTGGTTCACAAAGGCTGGCAATAAATCCCACGTCGAGGCACAATTCAATGTAGCTCTTTGCTATCTTCATGGAGATGGCGTCAAGGTCGATGCTGCCAAGGCCGCGCGTTGGTTGAAGAAGGCTGCAGGCAGGGGTCATAGCAGGGCACAATTCCAGCTTGGACTATGCCACAGCGAAGGTCTCGGCGTGCCCCGTGAGGACTTCTTCGCGTTTATACAATTCCGAGCAGCAGCAATTCAAGACCTTGCGGTTGCAGAGCATAAGCTGGCTGTGTGCTATCACCGTGGTACAGGCGTGGAAAAAGATATGGATTTGGCGATAGAATGGTACATCAGAGCAGCTGAGCAGGGTCACAACCAAGCTCAATACGACTTGGCAGCTTGCTATCTCAGAGGTGATGGAGTAGCCCTAGATGTGGAACAAGGCATGGCCTGGATGCAGCGCGCTGCAGAGCAGGGACACCCAGATGCCACTGCCTTTCTTCAGGACTAGCTTTCCTTCTATCCGGCATGGAAGGTGATGAGGTAGTGGCTGTACAGGATGGCATGCTTTTCGCGCTGGCCATTTACAAAGTTGCGGATGCTATATGAGCTGGCATGTGTTGGAAGAGCATCTCTTGAGCAGCGTGCAAGTTCAATGTATTTCCCACTCAGCCCTCACTCTTGGTTTGTACACGCAGTTTGGGACATCTAGAAGTACCAAATGCACCCGCAGACCAACCCCTCAAAGCTCACCATATCCACAGAATTCCTCCAGTTCTGACACTTTATTAGTGTTTTGAGAAGCCCTGTTTGATCGCAGGTGAGAATCCAGCTGGTCTAACATCGGGCGGAGATGGCATGCTCCGGGTAAGCTACGAGAAGGCTTGGCCGCTTGCCATTGCTCCTTTTCCGTACTGGGGTTTAGTAGGGAATAAGGAGATATAATATGTCATTCGAGATTGTGTGAGGATGTTATTCCCGTATTCCCAACTAAAAAAACAGTAAGCTTCTGGAATTACCCGAACAATTCTCGATTCTCACACAGGTCTAGGTGTCATTTACGTTCATTTGTCTTCTTCGCCATGTTCCTTCCTGAAGTATTGCCTGAACGATTCACAGGCTGTTCAGGCTGTAGGCTGTAGACCTGCGCACGAAATGTTATCACATGGTGGAGGGGAGAGTGGGCGGGAAGGGTCGAGAATAGGGCAGGGATAAGCCAAGAAGAAACAGACACGCCTTAATCCGAGGTTCCTAACAAGCCTCATGACCCATAAACCCTCCCCACAGTGGCCCCTCTCCACTTTGGGAAGTCTGTACAGGCCGGGGCAACCGACAGCAGATCCTTGTCTGCAAGAGGGTCGACCAGATCGGATTTGGGGTTGAAACGCAGTTGAAGTTTTTTGAGTACACCTAGCCCAAGCAAAGCTTGAATGTGATCCTGTGGGGCCCTTAAGGCTCTCCTATGAGACAGATATCTGGATCAAAAACACAACCATGCTGTTTCTGCGTGCTCTTCTAAGCTAACAGTTTGCCTTGCGGTGCTCGGAGTGCTATCCCTTCTTCACCTGACATGTAGGCGTAAAGCTTCGTAGAATCCTCTTCCATTTTCTTCTCGCCATGGCCAGTCTCTGTATTGTAGTTTCCCAACTAGGGGGTCCCTTATTACATGCCCCCAATTTCTATAGTCCACCTAAATTTTAGGAACACCCTCCCTATGGTCCTTATGGTATCGCGACGGACTGCTGGGAGTTAGGCTGCATGGTGATTAGTGATTAGTGGGACGAAGGAGAATGGATGCCCACTGTACCCCCCCATGTATTCCAGAACCTTAAACCTTAGACCTTAAACCCCAAACCTTGTTGTCTATTCCCTCCGGCCCCTCAAACCTAAGTCTGTAAAGCATGCGCCCTGAACCCATAACGATCCTCCAGTCTATCCTTTTCTACAAGGCAAAAAACGGAAGCGGAGTTAACTTGTAGCTAGAAGGAAGGATTCAGCCCTGGCGTTTGGGGCTTCAAGTTTAGGTTTTAGGGATGTGCCCAATGGCCCTTTCCGTAAATAGGTGCAGGCCCAATATAGACCACATTAATTCTGTAACGTTGTTCTCAGAAGGCATCCCACCCAACAAGAGGGCCCCTGATTTGGGAAACACCCGATTAGGGTTTAAGGTTTAAAGCTCTTTGCTCGAAGTGGTAGACGTACACCTTGAGCGCAGCCCACAGTCCGAAGCCGTAATCCGAAAGCCCTGAACACTACCTCCTCCCTAACCCCTGGATGGGTGGCACTTTGAGAGATATATTAAATGTCCCTTACTGTTTCATACGGGGACCTGCTCATAAATACTTTGGGTGCCTTTAAGAAGCGCCACCCAGCTAATCTTTAGTCCAATAGACCCCAAATCCTTAATCTAAACCCTAAACCCTACACCCTAAACCCTAAACCCTGATAGACCCAAAGCTCACAAAGCCCAAACATGTTTCCGAGGCGGCCCTGTCGCCCTGACGCTGATTGCGGGCGTCCGTACGCACCTGCGTGCCTTGGCTTTTTGAGGCTTCATCTCGAGATGCCCATCAGGGTTTGGGGATTTGGGTTTAGGGATTTGGGGTTTAGGATGTAGGCTTTACAGATTCAGGGTTTCGGTATTTTCGGTTTAGGGATTTCAGGTTTATTGTTTCGGGTTGAGGGACTGAAGGTTAGGGATCAGGAATTGTTGCTTGTTTTTTGGCTTGGGGATGCGAGATGTTGGGGTTTAGAGTCAAGGATTGTCTGTCGTGCAGGGTTCAGGGCCTCGAGAGCGAAGGAATGCATGCCTTTGGAATTTTATGACAACCTGTAGATCCACCAAGCAATTCCTTCATTCCCGATTAGCAAGACCCTAGGCCTTAAACATTAAGCCCTAAATCGCGAGTAGCAAGAGGCAGGATGCCAGGGAGTCCAAGTACCAATTTTGGTTATAGAAATTGTAGCGTAGGGTTTGAGGAATACATGAGCTACTGTCAATCTTTGTCCTATTAAGGGACCACTCAGGGTGCACATAGAGGTCTCTCGTGTTGTTAGTCCAGTCCTGAATATATTCCCTAATGTGGAACCAATTAATTACCTGGGTAATATATATATATGTATATATGGTAGCTCACATGATTATGAGTTTATGGACCCTGAGAAGTTATTGTAGCCCCGAACGGCTCAAACAAAGGCTCCTCTTGAGTCCGTCAGTGCGTCCTCTCCCAAAATGCCAGCGTTCGGTTCTAAGCCATGTCATTCTCTCGCCAGCCCTAAATCCTGAACCCTAAATCCTAAACCCTAAACGCTAAATCCTAAACCCTAAACCCTAAATCCTAAACCCTAAGCCCTAAGACAAGCCAAGGTCCCAAGCTTCATTATGCCAGCGCAGAGGGTCAACGCTGCTTGGAACCTACGCTGGCATTCGTTGTCCAGCCTCCACTTCCTGCAGGTCTGGATGCCAAGTCAAGGGTTTGGAGTTTAGGGCTTAGGGGGTAGGGTTTAGGGATTTAGGGTTTAGGGATTTAGGGTTTGGGGGTTTACAGACCTAGGGTTTAGGGTTTACGGTTCACGACTTAGGGTATAGGGTTGAGCGTTAACTTGGAGGTTCAGGGTAGCTATAAATATGACACAGTTCTAGCTGTACTAGCCCCTCCAAGTCCCTTGGTATGGTTATAGTTGGGTTACAAAATACAAGTTCTTAACATTTTTATAGCTGCCCCAAGCCTCCAAGTAAACCCCCCAAGTAGGGTGTAGAGTGTTTAGGATTTGGGGCGTAAGGTACAGTTTTTACGGCTTAGAGCTCCAGGTTTAGGACGTGGGGCTAAGGTCTTGCTTTACAATTCACAGCCTGCACAGCATGTTTCGCTGTCATTTGACCACTCCGCCAAACCCTAGCATTGAGTATTCCCATGGGTGCTTGCCGCCCTTGGCGGACATCTTCAGTTTTGAGTGATGGGGTGCCTTTTTGGACATTCGAAAAACCTAAAATGTCATGCTTGACAAGGCATTGAATGCCTCGCTTGCTTGGGGCAGTGGTATTCAAATTTGCATGACAGGCACGAAGGTATCATCCGAGGCTTTTGTTTCCGGACCCCTCATATAGCTGGAAGCCTTGACAAGGGAGGTCTGAAAGCCTAAAACCCTAAAACGCCAAAGCCTACAGCCCCAACTCCTTCATTATTTAACATGTACATATTGGTACTGAAGCCTTCGAGCTACTGCTCATTTTACGACATACCCTAAGCCCAAAACCCTAAATCCAAAACCTTTTAGATTTATCAGGTCCTGAAGGGTAAGGATCCCCATAATCCTCTATTATCCCCATGTGTCCCTAGCGTCTCTAAGGCCTCCGCCAACTTGTATAAACCCTAGACCCCACACCCCAGACCCCAAACCCCAAGCCCGACTGTAAGCCCCATACCCCAAACCGCTACACCCTAAACCCTAAACCCCTAGACTAGACCCCAAAACCCAAACCCCAAACCTCAAAGCCTAAGCCAACCCCAAGCTTTGTACTGTTCAGCCAGGCCTCAGCCTGGACTCCAAAACTGGCAGCATCAGCGGCACTCCAGATGCCGCTTCCGTGAAGGCAGGTAACTGTGAGAGGAAATAATAGTAACAATGGTATATGAGGGTTTAGGGTTTAGAGGTGTTGGGGTTTAGGGTATAAGGGTTTAGGATGGTTCAGGGTATAGGGTTTGGAGTTTAACGGCTTATTGGCTTAGGGTAGATTAGTGGTAGTCGTCGTAATAGGAATCATACTAGCAATAAAAAGAATAGTGATAGTGAGCGTGACATTGGTCATAGCAGTGTAGTACTAAGGTTAAAAGTTATCATGTTAGTAATACAAAAACATTCAGTACTGCCCCCCTCAGTAACAGTTGGATAATAACTATAATACAGTTATATATAGCTCTTCATAGGACCCCTACTATAGACTGTTACTGAGTGGGGGCAGCACCCAACAAAAACAGTACTTGCAGTTGTAGTAAGTGGTCACTGTAAGTTTGAGGTTTTAGAGTTGAGCTCCTAGGGTTTAGGGTTGAGGGCTTAGGCCAAGGACTTGGGGTCAGCAGCTTTATCCCTTAGCCTAAATAGGGATGAGTCAACATGTCCGTCTTTTTGGGAGCATCTGTGGAGAAAGGGCTCTGATACATTTGTGGTATACAATTTCAGATGCTTGCTTTGATTGTTGTTTGTAAACTTGTTTGGGTTCTGCGAATGATTAGAAGGCCGAGGGTTGCGGGTTTCAGGATTAGCGTGCAGTTATCGCCAGGTAGCAGTTGAGTGGGGCAGGATCCCAGAACAGTGCCTGCCAAAATTTAGTGAAAGCCTCCCAAATTGCCGCAGCAGGATTTATCGGAAACCTTACTTGTTTCGGCAAGGTTGGTGTTCAGGGATTCGGGCCCCTTGTACATAGTACTTCGGATAGGGATACTTTGTCGCCAATTCAAAAGATCAAGCTTGTTCAGTCTGGTTGTAGCACTTCACAGGAAATCTGATGTG